GCATGTGTCGGGATATGCTTGTCACAGAACTTGTGGGAGGGGAAGCAGGAAAAAAGGGAATGGTACCCCCCACCGGAGAGCATACGAGCAGGACTGAAGACAGGGGGAGCCCCCCCCCCCCCCCCCCCGTAGGCAAATTAAATGAAGCAATTAAATGGCTCACCATTTCAATGACTCATTCCCAGCATATCTTCGACAGCAGCCAGTTTAGAGAGCCAATAATTGTCTAAAATCATCAGTGCATGTAAACTCAGTCCAATAAAACCAGGTATTTCTGAACCTGGTATGTGTGTTCTTTATAGAACTCATGATACTTTTCATCTCCCTGATATGCTCAACTCTTCCAATCCATTATTGGAGGTTGAACCGATTTCCACAGTGCCGGTATGCAGGACCATTCCACGTTAATCAGCTGGTGCAACACTGACTTTTATGTAGGCCAATGTTGTAATCGAATTGTGATGCCACCGGAAAAATTCAGGCGTTTTAGGGAGTACATGGTCAGGGAATTTTTTTGTGATTTCGTGAACCCGAGTCTAGAAAGTATGTAAGGAGGGGCAAGATCAGAACATATGTAATAAGTCTCTACCCCGGTCACATCTGCAACAGGTTTCGGACAGGGATGCGGTACCAGCGAGTTACTATCTTATACCCCAATGCCTGGTATTTATTACGAATGGAGAATCTGAAAGACATATTGAATATTTTTGTAAGAGCTTCTGGGGTCAAAGTAATCCCCAGGCCCAGTTCCCAACGGTCTAAGTAGTGAAAAGGTGATGTGGAGGCTCCTGTAAGGAGCCATTTGTAGGTTGTGGAGAGAAGGTGGTCAGTCGGTCCCTCACTTTAACACTCCTTGTATGGCCAGTTTTAATCTCTTATTGTCACTGAAACAGAAAGTGAAGGAAAATCTAAAATTTTTGACATTGGGAGTAGAAATCTTGCAATAGGAACACTTGTTTCATTGACAACTGTCTAAGTGAGGATTCTCCTCACTTTAAGGAACTTTCCTCTTCCTGTTGTATCTGCAGGACAGGAAGTGAAGGGAAATCTCCCCAATGGGACACATATCTGGAGATTTTAAAACACATTTGCTAGTGATCCTGCAACACACTCCTTGCTGCCTCACCAGAGGTCTGATATGATGCTAGAACACCATTTTTACTACTTTTCACTTACAGAAAGCCTAGAGTCCTACTTTAATGCATGGAGTAGAGCACTGATAGAATAAAGAAATAAGATATACATGTGCTCAAATCCAAATAGCTTATACATATATACAGTATATAATCAGTCAGGTGCTAATAATTCTGGATGAATCCTCTGCATTCTCCTATTCACTCTTTCTAGCAAACTTTGCACAAAAATGGGGATTTTCTTTTCACACACATTAAGCTGGGGAATTGCATCAAAGTAATCCCAAAGTGAAGAGGAACTGACTGCTGACTTCAGGAACAGGAGCTTACCAGTGCCAGGGGTCCAGCGATGTCTTCCTGCAGTCGGTTCTTCTTACCAGTGCAGCACCACCATTTTGGATATAGGAGCTGGCTGTGGCTTTCTGATTAAACTACAGTCGGGTCGCTATTGCAAATGCACAAGCTCATGTGGTGGACTAGGAATGGTCCTGCTGCCTCCTGGGACATATGATGTGTCCCAGGAGGCTCCGAAAGGAGAGGAGGTGGGACAAGGGGCCCGGTGATTGACGTGTGCCCGGGCGATCACATGGTGTTTTACCATGTAATTGCTGGGTCCAATCACAGCAATCACACAGTAAACAATAGAAAAGAAATCTAAAAACCACTTTTCTCTGCTGTCAGTATGAGAGCAGAGGGAAACGATCCTGCAGCCTGTGAGTGTACAGCAGTGTGTCAGGCTGCCTGTACACTCTCAGACTGCAGTGCTAGCCACAGTGTCCCTGATGAGTGCGCCCGTGTGTCCCTGATCACTGCCACAGTGTTGGGACAATAAATAATGAAGCCAGCCCCTGTCACCTGTCCCAGTGCACACAAAAACACCACCATACACCATACCAGCGTCCTGATCACCACCATACCAGCATCCTGATCACCGCCATATCCCATACCAACACCCTGAAAACCGCCAAACGCCATACCAGCATTCTGATCACCGCCATACCCCATGTCAGCATCCTGATCACCGCCATACCCCATACCAGCATCCTGATCACCGCCATGCTCCATACCAGCATTCTGATTGTGCCATATGCCATACAAGCGTCCCGATCATTGCCATACCCCATACCAGCATCCTGATCACCAGTATGCTCCATACCAGCATCCTAATTACCTCCATACCAGTGTTGTGATCACCACCATACCTCATACCAACGTTCTGATCACCGCCATACCCCATACCAGTATCCTGATCACCCCCATACCAACGTTGTGATCACCTGCTTACCAGCATCCTGATCACCACCATACCAACATCCTGATCACCACCATACCAGCGTGCTGATCACTGCCATACCTCATGCTAACGTCCTAATCACTCCCATACCAGCATCCTGATCATTGCCATATGTCATACCTACACCCAGCAATTTAGGGTCTCAACTGATCAATTTTCAAATATATATCCCATAGTTTGTAGAATCTACAGCTTTTACTCAGACTAAATAATATACACTGTTTTTGGTTATTTTTACCCCAAAAATGTAGCAGAATACATTTTGGCCTAAATTCATGAAGAAAAATTATTTACAAACTTTTATACCAAAAACTAAACAAAAAAGGCTTTTTTTAAAAAAAAATTCTGTAAATTTTTTCATTTACATAGCAAAAGAAAAACCCCAAAACATTAGTGATCAAATACCACCAAAAAAAGCTCTATCTAAAAAAAAAGATAAACATAAAATATGATTTCATATAGGTACAGTGTTGCATGACTGAGTAATTGCTGCTCAAAGTGTGGTAGCACTGAAAGCTGAAAATGGGCCTGGACTGGAAAGGGGTGAAAGTGTCTGTACCTGAAGAAGTTAATGTACATATAGTTGAGATGGGTCTTTGAAAGTTTGACCCACATAATATGGAGACTGGTGGTTCAGGATTAAAAACACCTTCTCCGGAAAGTGGTAACTGTAGGGTTAATGCACACACATTGGGGACCAGTCATTGAGGGCTTAATGTATATAAAAAGGGGACTGTTCACTGATGACCTGATAGTTATATACTATAGGACTTCTAGTGACATGTATCCCCTTATTTACTCACTTAGCTGCTTGTTCCTGAACTAAAATGCATTGAACTTTGTGTCACTACATCCTGGCTATTTTCTGGGTCAGTGTACTTTTTACAGGTACTTCTGACAATGTTAAGTTTAGGGGATTTCACAGGAATACATTTTGCTAAATGTTTTCATGATTTCAATTGCTGCTCAGCAACTGCTGTCATGTTGGTCTTCCATGTGGAGAGTTCAATACTGGTTCTAATATAGATCTGTGAAGTCACTGTTTTCATTGAGTCCTTCCAAATTGCATTCTATGTTGAGCCCTGATGAAATGGGGGGATATTGCCCCCCAAAAAAGTTTACTGTTTTTAAATGACTTTTTATCAACAATTAAAATGATCTTGAAACTCTTATCTGATTTTGGTCTTGCGCTCCTTTCTGTATTTCTATGGTTTGAGCCACCATTGGGCGCCCATCGAAGGAAGCCTTGCTGTGTGGAAATCGCCTCGCCAGAACTACTGAGCTTGTTTGATGTTTTCCTTCATCTGACTAAACTTGGAAGTCTAAAAGTTCCCAGTGCCACTTTGAGTATGTTGTTCTGGCGTTCATCTCTTTGTATGACAGTGACAAGGCTCTTCTGTAATTTATTAATTAAGATATAAGTTACAGTTTAGAAATTTGAATGACAAGTACTTCTATGTATAAATTATGCAAACGCATTGAAGAACTTGAATGCATCTACCCATGATGTCTAGCGGGTAATCCATCCATAAAACATAGATTGACAGTAAATGGGTCTTCATTAACCTAAAGCTGCTTTCTCTTACAGATTTTTTGGCTCCTCGACCCGCGTACCGATTCAATTTAACTTCTCTCCAGTCATCTGAAGTTGTCTTGGCTGCCACTCTCCATTTTGGACCTGACAAAAGCCCTAGACCTCCTAGAGACTCCTACTGCAAACGTTCCAAAAATGCTTCTTGTCGCCTCTTGCTACCATCCCCATCCCAGAAGATCAGTGTCACTTTTCGAAGCCTTCTTCACCACACAGATTTGGGTATGGTGAAATGGAATGTCAGCAATGCCTTGCCCTATAAAAAGGGGGTCTGGCACACCAAAGACATAACAAGCATTATCAAGGAGGCCCAACATCAACAAGACTTGTTTATCTCTGCTGAGATTGACTTTGGACATAAACTTCCTACAATCTTTGAAACTAACCCTAGTGATGTTCCATATATCCTGGTATTTGCTAATGATAGAGCAATTTCAGAACCCAATAGCGTGGCCTTGACCTTGCAGAGATATGACCCATTTCAGTCAAATGTTGGAGACCCAAAGCAAGGGTCCAATGCATCTTCAGAGAGCAGAGTGAAGAGGGATATCACATTTGTGACTTCCACCCATGATAATGAACTGCCGGATGTCAAGTATGTACGTTACAGCAAACAGGACTTGTGGGAGGGCACTTACAAAGCCCTTAAGCAGAAAACTCCTAAGAAAGAGAAGAAAAAGAAGGGTCCTGAAAGTCTGGACACAGTTTTAAAATCTCCAGTGCTGCACTTTGATGAAAGGACCATGAAAAAAGCAAGAAGAAGGCGCCAGTGGGATGAGCCAAGAGTATGCTCTCGACGATACTTAAAAGTAGACTTTGCTGACATTGGGTGGAATGAATGGATTATATCTCCAAAATCATTTGATGCTTACTACTGCTCTGGAATTTGTGAGTTCCCAATGCCAAAAGTAAGTGATGGGTATATTTGTAAATATATAAATACGAAATCCAGGTAGGCTGCTTAAAGTGTTACTAAACCCAGGACCCTGCATTCATTATATCTGGTCTCCCCGGACCCTGCATTCATTATATCTGGTCTCCCACAGTACACAGAACATGGAAGTGCAATTATTTTAGTAAATATAAATTGCTAAATACCTTTTCCCATCATCAATTAGAGCGGTCTTGTGACTTCTATCAGTATTCAGTAGAGTGCTAGTTAAAGCTTGTAGGAGGAGTTTCTTTCTGCTCTAGGAGGATGCAGGACCCCTGACCTCTGTCTGCACAGTGCTGATTGGCTCTGTGCTGATCACATGCACTCTCCCTTCTCTCAGAGAAGGCCGGATCAAACAGCATTTTTGCACAATGCAGAGGATTAACCCCTTAGGTTCCACAGGGAGTATATCAAGCATACTTTTTTTATTATTATTATTATTATTATTATTATTATATTGGATTTATATAGTGCCAACAGTTTACGCAGAGCTTTACAACAAAAGGGCAGACAATTCAATTACATTACAAATGAATACAAGAGGATTCAGAGGGCCCTGCTCATTAGAGCTTACAATCTAAGAGGGAGGGTCAAGAGATACAAAAGGTAATAACTGTGGGGGATGGACAAAATACATGTACAGTTGCTAGGTGCTGGCAGGAGAGACCTCTCTGAAGAGATGAGTTTCAGAGATCGTCTAGAAGTGGACAGAGATGGAGATAGTCAGACACATTGGGGAAGGGAGTCCCAGAGGATAGGAGCGGCTCTGGATAAATCCTGGAGGCGAGCATGGGAGGAGGTGACAAGGGATCTAGAGAGTAGGAGGTTTAGGGAGGAATGAAGAGAACAATTTGGTTGGTATTTTGAGACCAGGTTAGTGATGTAACTAGGGGCTAAATAGTGGATGGCTTTATAAGTTGTTGTAAGTATCTTGAATTTTATTAGTTGGGTGACTGGGAGCCAGTGGAGGGATTGGCAAAGAGGGGTGGCAGACACTGTATGGTTGGTAAGGTGGATGAGTCTGGCAGCAGCATTCATGATGGACTGGAAGGGAGCCTATGCAAAGGTAAGCCAGTGAAGAGGAAGGCAGGAGATGACCAGGAAGTGAGTTAGAAGCGTTGTGGTGTCATTGGTTAGGAAGACGCGTATCTTGGAGATGTTGCGGATATTGAGGCAGATTTTGACAGAGAATTCAGTGGAAGGGGCACATAGTGGAGGAAATTTTATGAGTTTTGGATAGATTGATCTTCAGGAAGTGGTGTGACATCCAAGCTAATATGTCTGTTAGTAGATTAGTGATGCTTGAGGAGACTGATGGAATGAGCTGAGGGGTAGAGAGATAGATCTGAGTGTCATCAGCATAGAAATGGTATTGAAAGCCATGGGAGGCTATCAATTGACCCAGAGAAGAGGTGTAGATTGAGAATAGGAGGGGTCCCAGAACAGAACCTTGGGGAACCCCAAAGAAAGGGAAGAAGGGGAAGTAGAATTGTAAGTGACACTGAAGGTGCGGTGGGATAGGTAGGATGAGAACCAATGAAGAGCACAGTCACAAAGACCAAAGGAGTACAGTTTTTTTTTGAGGAGGGAGTCCACTGTGTCAAAGGCAGCAGAAAAGTCCAGGAGTAGGCGTACAGAATAGTGTCCATTGGTTTTAGCCGTTAGTTGATCGATTGTAAGTTAGAGGAAAGCAGTTTTAAGTAGAGTGCTGAAAGCAAAATCCAGACTGAAGGGGATCAGGAAGGTTATTCTCAGTGAGGTGGCTGCTCATCTGGTTGTAGACCAGGCGTTAAAGGAGTTTGGAGGAAAAGGAGCGTAAGGAGATGGGTCGTAGGTTGTTAAGATTGGTGGGGTCTAGAGAGGACTTTTTAAGTATGGAGGTAAGATGCCGGAAGAGAGGGAGGGATTGAAGATGTGATTTAGAGAGTGTAGGGGGTAGAGCCAGAGGGTGACCGTAGCATTTGCGACGGAACAGGGTCCAGGGTGCACATGGTTAGGTGGGCGTTAGGAAAATGTTTAGCAACCTTGTCTATAGTAGTGGGGTTGAATGCAGGAAGTGGTGATTGTCCCTGTGGATGTGGAGTGTTAAGTAGAGCTGGTATCTGAGCTTTGGAAATCTCCTTACGAAATGTATCGATTTTCTTTTTGGAGTGATTGGTGATCTCCTGGGCAGTGAGTGAGTTAGTGGGTGGAGGCAGTGGAGGATGAAGAAGAGAGTTGAAGGTAGAGAAGAGTTGACAGGGATTGGATGAGAAGGTGTTAATGAGAGTAACGAAATAGGTCTGCTTGGCAAACTGCATATACAGACTGATCTTACTGTTGTGGGTTTAGTAACATTTTAATAGACAGTTCTAATACATACCTGTTGACCATTTACCTTCGAAATTATTTGCTTTTTGCCTGGGATGCTGTAGATACAGCTGGCTAAAGTGTAAATGGCAATATGCAATAGATACATCAAGAGTCTGTACAAGACTCAGAAAATTATGGACACTAAAGTCTGGTCTAAGAAAAAAGTTGTATTCAAGTATGTACTCTTAAAGCCCAACTCTAAGTAAATAAACAAATTGTCCCTTGCAGTGGGACTGCATTGTCAAAACTGCTCTGTAGCCGCTGCATATGCACAGCCCTGTCAAGACTGTATTGTTAGAATTCTGGTGGGTGGCCAGAGGGCAGTAAAACCATGGCTCAACCACCTGATTTTACTGCCATCCAGCTGTCAGTGTGAAAGAGCCCCTATACACTTTCCCAATGGTGGCAGCAGGGGGCAAATGCAAATAGGGAGATTAGGCTTAAGGCTGCGTTAACACCTGACTGTTTTAAATGTTTGTCCATGCGTTTTGGCATGCATTTGTGTGCGTGGTTTTGCATGTTTTTGTACAGCATTTTCTGAGGGTTTTGGAGCGTTTGCGTTTTTGTATTAGCCAGTAGAGAAAACAATCATCTCTAATATCAGTTGTTGCTTTGTATTTGTGCCTTTAGCTACTATAAAAACACACCAAGCTGACTGAATCGAGCTACAAAAGTAGCTCCAAAACCTTTTTGAACTTCAGGCGGTTTGGAGTGGGGATGTGAACCACCATCAAAGAGAATAATTGATTTTTTTCGACGTAAGGTTTTTTGAGCTTCGAGCTAGAAGTGTAAGATCTCTTCTTTTTGAATGGCACACTGTAATTAACTGATTACAGAGAAGTCAAAAAGAACTAAAATTGCCTAACAGCCTAGAAAACTAACTAGGGGGGTGCTACATCCACCCCTGCCAAATATAGGAATTGTCCTCATGGGCCAGAACAAAAATAACTCTTGTCACTAAGAGTGAACTATTCCATAATAACAAGGACGGGGAAAGGGAAGTAATAATGTGACAGAAAATATGTGGCATCCTACATAGTAAAGTTCATTCAGTCAAGTGCAAAACTTTCAAGAACAAAAGTTATAATCCTATATCTACAGTTGATCCAGAGGAAGGGGAAAAAAAACCCCCAGCAAAGCATGATCCAATTTGCTCCTGCAGGGGAAAAAAAAATTCCTTCCTGATATATTATGTGTATCCAAGAAATAATCCAGGCCTTTTTTTAAAGCAATCCACTGAGCTGGCCAGAACCAACTCTTAACGGAGTCTATTCCATTTCTACAGCTTTCACTGTGAGGAAACCTTTCCATGTTTGGAGATTAAATCTCTTTTTCTCCAGACATAAAGAGTGCCCCCTTGTCCTCTGTGATGACCTCAGGGTGAATAGCTCTACACCGAGTTCACTATGTGAAACACTGATGTATTTATACATGTTGATCATACCGCCTCTTAATCTCCTCTTCTCAAAAGAGAAATAAATTCAGTTCCTCTAATCTTTCCTCATAGCTGAGCTCCTCCATGCCTCTTATCAGTTTGGATGCCCTTTGCACTTTCTCCAGTTCCCCAATGTTCTTTTTGTGAATTGGTGCTCAAAACTGAACTGCATAGTCCAGACGAGGTATTACTAATGATTTGTACGGGGTAATATGATATCTTTAATACAAGAGAGGATTTTGCTTGCTTTAGAAACCGCAGCTTGGCATTGCATGCCATTATTAAGCTTGTGATCTACCAGAACCCCCAGATCCTTCTCCACCATTGATTCCCCCAGTTGTAGCCCCCCCTAGTATGTATGATGCATGCATATTCTTAGCCCCCAAGTGCATAACCTTACATTTATCAATATTAAACCTCATTTGCCACATAGTCGCCCAATTAAACAGTGCATTGAGGTTGGCTTGTAAGTTGAAGACATCCTGTAAGGACATTATTCCACTGCACAGTTTGGTGTCCTCTGCAAAGACTGAAATGAGATTTATAATTTCAGACCCTATATCGTTTATAAATCTATTAAAAAGTAAGGGTCCCAACACTGAACCCTGAGATACACCACTGACAACCCTAGACCATGCAGAGTATGAATCATTAACCACTACTCTCTGAATACCATCTTTTAGCCAGTTTTCTATCAATTTACATACGTATTTTTCAAAGTCCGTAGACTTTACCTTACACATTAGCCATGTGTGGGGAACTGTGTCAAACGCTTTTGCAAAATCCAAGTATACCACATCCACCACCACCCCTCTGTCCAAGGTTTTGCTCACCTCCTCATAAAAAGAAATCAGATTTGTTTGACAACTTCTGTCTTTCATGAATCCATACTGTCTGTTGCTTAAAATATTTATTTTCCAGCAAGAACTCATCTATGTGGTCTTTTATTAAACTCTCCAGTATCTTACCAACAATAGAAGTTAAACTAACAGGTCTATAATTACTTGGTAAAGATTTTGACCCTTTTTTAAATATTGGCACCACATTGGCCTTATGCCAATCCAGTGATACTATGCCAGTGATTAAAGAGTCCCTAAAAATTAGAAACAATGGCTTTGAAATGACAGAGCTCAATTCTTTAGGGACCCGTGGGTGTATGCCATGCTATTTAAGAATAGGAAAACTAGATTTGAAGTGAATTCCAAAGAACGTGACTTGGTCCAGCGAACATGCAAATGGTGAAGGTCACAAAAGTGTGAATGAAGCTTCCAGAACCCATTTGTATATGCCCAGTTTAATGCTTGTAAGGGAAGAAGGAGCACAC